GGTATCGCATTAAAATAAAACTTTAAATAATAAATGTCTCGTCGAATATCCTGTAGCGTTTGGAGTGCTTGATTCGTATATCATTTTAATAATACATTGTGCGACAAGTGCGAGAAGTTCGCCCTGTTGCCGATTTGTACGGGTGATCGCACGAGCACCCCAAACGTGAGAGGCGAGGGGACTCACGATAATCAAGCACCCCAAACATGAGAGGTGAGGGAGGGGGGTTGGTACCCCTTATGTCAAAAGATAGCCCTTCTGATCTAATTCTCAAGATCAAGGTCATTGGAGGTTGTTCCGTTTATTTTCATTTCTTCGTAAAAATGCTAATGCCGGCGATCCTCTAACTTTGAAGCATTATAACTTGAAAAGTACTTCATGAAAAAATATTTTATTATAGCGTTTTGGAAAGCTCTCGAGATGTGCTATAAGAATATGCAATGAAAAATGGGGTGTTCCATTTAAAAAAATTAATGTGACCTTGACCTGACCTTCGCTACGCAACCCAAGGTCAAACTGATGTAATCAGTAAATACATCTTTTCAAATGCTACAACTTTTGTCTGAAACATTTTTTTGTAAAACTTATATTTTTCCTGATATTCGGGCGTCCCGGTACTTTCCGAACACCCTGTATATATGTGTGCGTCTGTACGCGTGAATGTATGTGTGTGAGTAAAATGTTTGACGAGTAAAAAATTTAACTTAACGTTTCTCCCAAATTGAATGAGCTACATATATTATCAAAAAGAATAATGTAATATTTTATTAAATTCTTTCTTTATAGAGTATGTATCGTAATAGAGCATTAATTTAGGCAATGTCCTGTTTATTATCCAAAATAAATTAACAATTTCAACTGAATAATAAAAAGCATAATAGATATCCAGTTTTAGATTCAAATTTTGTTTTAACTTCAAAGATGTCTCTGAGATTCGAGAAAGATGTCTTCTAGTGCGTATGGTATGGACATGAGATCTTTTACTGCGACTACTTCTGTTCCGTTATTGTAACAGAGCACACTTTAAGCGATCCTTTTAAGTTGTATTTTTTCTTTTTGTTAAGAGGAAATGCGTTACGCACACCTCCGGGAGGTCGAGGAATCTCCCGAGGGTAGTGTGGGACTTTCCCCTCCCCAAAATAGGGGTAGGGCCTACCCACTAAAAGGTACCTCTACCGGTGCCCTATCCTCGACGGCATTTGTGAGACGTCCCGGGAACCGCTCATGCATTCCTTCCGGGGCGTCCCGCCGCCATTTATAAGTTATATTGAATTTAATCAAAATATATTCACTTGGTTAAGTATGCAGAGTTTAAGTATTGCATTAATTTATCCAATATATTCAACTATTCAAAAAGTACTAACAATAACTAATAATTAAAAGTGGCAAAAGCCAAAGAAAATTTCAAAAAAGACGGACTTGTACAGGCAAGTGTCAGGCAATATTTACACTCTTATATATCGTATCAAGTTTTAAATGATGAAACTTGCACACTTACATCTCTCCGAGAATTTACCTACGAGCGAACGAGATGTCCAGCGCAATCTATCAATAGCTACTGAATCGTGTATCCGAACTCTGCATATTGTAATTTATTTAATAATCTAGAGAAATCTGTTGTAATGATTTCTTCTAGTTGAACAAATCTTGCAAACGTCCAACTATCAAAGACATTAGTTCAATATATTTATTGTCTGCTTTAGTTAACTTTTCATCTTCTAAGTAGAATTACTTATAGTATGCAGTTAGATCAATTTTTTTCGTTAATTGAAAAAACACTTATAGCGTTTCACTACATTTCTGTTTCTATTAACGTTTTACTTTTAACAAAATTTTTAGTAGCTTTATCATTTTTTCTCAATATATAAAGTACGATTTTTCAAGTAGGTTTTCGAAGTAGAGTATTTCTTCATAATATTAAATTAATTATATATAAAAATATAACGAAAAATTTATGCAATTTTACAGTTTGGTGGTTCGGAGGCGATTATAACAGCACTCAGTGACGAATTTCCAATAATCGGCAACAATCGTGAGATTTTTGTTGCGTGCTTGTTTACTTTGTACTTTTTAGTTGGACTTGCCTCCTGTTCACAGGTAAATATGTCAACTATGTACTATTGAGTGTACAACTTAATTCGGTCAGTTTTTTTGCTTGAAAAACACATTTATTTGAATGATAAAATGAATTAACACATTATTGAAAGTATTGTCTATCGCTAGCCACTACTTTTTCCCATCTTTCTGGCAATTTATGGATTCCGTCGCGGAAGAAGCGTTCATCTTTTGAAGCCAAGAATGAATCGAGCCAATTTTTGATACCCTGTTCTGAAGTGAAGTGTATTCCAGTCAAAGCGTTCTGCATCGATCGAAACAAATGGTAGTCGGAAGGGGCAAGGTCTGGGCTATAAGGCGGGTGAGCCAGAACTTCCCATCCGCTATTTTCCAAATAGTTTTTAACCGGAACAGCAACATGAGGCCGAGCGTTGTCATGGTGAAAGATTATGGACTCGTGTCTGGTCGCATATTCTGGACGTTTTTCGGCTATAGCTCGCTTTAAACGGATCAATTGTCGCCTGTAGAAGTCTCCCGTGATGGTTTGACCAGGTTTTAGCAGCTCATAGTGGATCACACCCTTCTGATCCCACCAAATACAGAGCATTACCTTGGCATCATGGATATTCGGCTTCGGCGTTGATGTTCCCGGTTGGCCGGGCTTTACATACGATTTTTTGCGTTTCGGGTTGTCGTAGTGAATCCATTTTTCGTCCCCGGTAATGATTCGATGCAGAAAAGACTTCTTTTTGTACCGTTCAAGCAACATTTCGGACATGCAAAATCGTCGTTCGATATCTCTCGGTTTCAATTCGTATGGGACCCAATTTCCTTGCTTTTGGATGTATCCCGCGGCTTTGAGTCGTTTCGAAATAGCTTGTTGAGTAACTTCCAATGTTCTTGCGAGCTCTTTTTGCGTTTGACACGAATCTTGATCGAGTAATGTTTCTAATTCTTCATCTTCAAACTTTTTCGGTTGACCCGAACGCTCTTTGTCTTCAACACTAAAATCACCACTTTGAAATCGTCGAAACCATTCTCTGCAAGATTTATCCGACGGTGCAGATTCACCATAAACTTCCACAAGCATTCGATGCGCTTCAGCTGTACTTTTCTTCCAATTGAAACAAAAAATCAAAACTTCCCGCAAATGGTGCTTATTTGGAACGAAACTCGACATTTTCAACGCAGTAAAAATTAAACTTGTTGTGCAAAACTCAAAGGCTTGTAAACAATATTTGGTTGACAGATGTTGACACTTCATGATACAGCAAAAATCAGCTGTCGCCGTCAACCATTTATAGCACCTAGAGCCATCTTTTGAAAACGGACCGAACTAAGTTGTACACCCAATATAAGTATACAAAATATATGAAAAATATATATCGAATTTTCTGGCTTAATTTACACTAATTTTATCGCGTTTAAATCTCAATAAATTTCGCGACACAATAAAATAACTCCAATTTTCATCAAGATATTTTACAAATGAAATTTTTTGCGTTGCTTAAGGGGGCAATACTGTTTTTCGGCTGAAAAAGGAAATTATTTTGTGAATTTTTTTTAGAAACTACGCGCCCGATTATTTTGAAACTTGGTATGCTAAATACTACATATTTTATTTGTATGTCAGAATTTTTATAATTATGTATGCTGCAAAATATAAAAATTATTGAAAAACACGTGAAACTGAAATGAGCGATTTTTGCTCCATAGCGCGCATTATATCTCTCGTTAATCTGAAATAAGATAGCTAAAAAATTACACTAGGGACATTCAGTTATCGCTGGAACTAGGGATATTGAAAACGGGTCGTTTTTCAGCAAGTTATAGGTATTTGAAAAAAACGCCTGAAAAATCATTTTAAAAATCAACAGTTTTTCATTAGAAATAAATAGGAAAAGTTAATATATTTTAATTTCACTGGTTCGGACAAAAATAGTACATGTTTTGAATATGTAGCTATAGGCAGAAGTCGATTAATTCAGCAGTTTGTCTCAAATCGTGCTCGCCAGTTAGAGAAAAATCGTTTTGAGAAAAACGCGTTTAAAGTTTTGAATACTATTTAAGCATATATTTCTAATACTTACGTAAATTTCAACCTAATCAGCGATTTCAGGCCCATAGAACAAACACACCTGAGTTGTTCTTTTGTTACTTAGGATTCATTGAACCTTCGTAGACCGCATATATCTGACGAAATTTTAAACGGCTTGGTGAGCGTCGGATTTGACCTGCGCGCCGTTTCGAATAATAGGCTGTAACGCAATTTTACGAATTTTTCGATGCGATAAGTAAGAATAGATTCTTAAAAGTATATTTTTTAATGAAATGTAAAAAAAGAAAAATTGATTTTTTTAATCAGAGAAACGGTATTATCCCCTTAATTTATATATTAAATCTAAAATATATATTTTTATTATATATTTATACGTGCATTTTTTCATATTATGGTATAAATGTTATAAATTGCACTGTTATTTAATATAGGGCGGGTTTTACTTTTTTCACTTGTTGGATCGATATGCGGCCGGATACTCTATGTTATTTGCTGTCCTTGCGGAAACAATTGCTGTTAGTTGGATCTATGGAACGGATCGATTTTGCGCAGATATCAAAGACATGATCGGTTTTTCGCCCGGTGTTTACTGGCGGGTGTGCTGGAAATTTGTAGCACCGCTATTTCTTATGGTATGTTACAAGATGTTATAAAATGTATTACATAGAAATAAATTTGCCTAAAATTATTATTTTCGATTATTCATATATTTCATATGTCGTATGTTTTATGTAGTATCTCATAAAAGCCATTATTGCTTTAAAAACAAAGAATAGATTTGATATTTATGGCAACCTTTATATGGGAAAATATGTTTATGACTATGTTTTTTATTTTATTATAGTTCATTATCGTCTACGGCCTAATGGGTTACGAACCTTTAACATACGAAGGCTACGTTTATCCTGTTTGGGCAAATGTATTGGGTTGGCTGATCGCATGTTCTTCTATTATTATGATCCCGGGTATGGCGATTTACAAAATCATGAGCACACCCGGCTCTGTCGTTCAAGTAAGTGTTCTATTTAAAAAAAATTTGTTATAATAATCAATATTTCTTCAATTTAAGAATTAACATAGAAAATCATACATGCGCATAGGCGATATTGCTTGACAGTATCGATATATTGTATCGATATGTCGTATCGTCATAATCATAGACATATATACATAGTAATAGCATATATACCAGACTGCGCGGTTTGTGCAGAGAAGTGAACCCGAAATGGAAAGACAGATATATGCGTCCAATAAGGCGTTTCTTGTTTAATTGTGCAGTTGGTGGGAAGAAGTAACACACATATGTTATACTATTGGAATTCAGCAAAATTACTATATAAATTAAATGAACCGGAGTTGGTAAAAGCTTGGTACACAAAAGTCAAATATCATTTTGCGAAATTTGCAATAGTTTTCGAGTAATTAATTATTTTGTCTGAGCAAATAAGCGCGCGACCGCGATACATGCGAATCGCGGCTCGCTACATCCCTCCGCCCATAGCTACGAGATATAGCGTATCTCATAGCCGCGATTCGCATGTATCACGGTTGCGCGCCGGTCCGAGCACATATTTGCTCAGACAAAATAATTAATTACTCGAAAACTATTGCAAATTTCGCAAAATGATATTTGACTTTTCTGTACCAAGCTTTTACCAAGTTCATCTAATTTATATAGTAATTTTGCTGAATCCCAATTAAAACTGCTAGTTCAGGGCAAGTTTTACTAAGTTTTATTTCACTTAACCGATTTAGCAACCTTGCAGGATTCTAACTGAAACCATAGACATAATAAGAATAGACTAAACGTGTTTTTGTTTGACAGTGAAGATCAGATAGGAAAGGATAGAAAACAAGTGCCGTGTAGTTCCTTTATAGAAATATCATACTAACAAGTAACACTAGGGAAGTGATAATCACCGATTTTCCTGAAACTGCGCATACAAGTAGTTCTTCAAAAACTATTAGACACGTATTTTTTTGTTTTTCCCCAAAAACGAATTTTGGGGTAGAAATCGCCCCTACAAATTTTGGTGGAGGGGTAAGAGGTACTTTACAAACTGTTTGTAGGATTCGTATGAAATTTGGTATCTAGGGCTTTTTGGCCTCGCTGATTTCGAATTTGAAGTCAGTTTTTGAAAATTCAAAATGGCGGATCCAATATGGCGGACGGATTTTAATTTTATTAAAGATTTCTATGAAACATGGTATGTAGGGGTTTTTGGCCTCGCTGATTACGAATCTGAAGTCAGTTTTTGAAAATTCAAAATGGCGGATCAAATATGGCGAACAGATTTTTAAACAGAACTAGATTTTTATGAAACTTCGAATTTTCGATCTTCTTCAGTCGCTGAATAAGAATCAGAAATTCTTCTTTGAACTACATTCAGCGTTACTCATTGTCAGGAAGAACGCCGTGGACTTCTTTGTAATAAAAGAAAAATAATTTTTGGGTTTATCGACATTTTCGAAAATATTGGTTTTTCCTTTTGAAGATTGAGGGCGTCAGTTATACATTAAACTTACCTGGTATTGAATTTTAAAAAGCTCTTGATATTCTATGAATAAAAGAAAATTAAAACCAATACTTACCTGCTACTACAGTCTAAATGTAACTTCTTTAAATGTATTATAAAGATTAAAAAACATGCATAAGACATGAGGCGTATACTTATTACATGTATTTTACATGTGAGCAGATACAGCTGATGAACTGACTGACATCTACAAATTCTGTATGAAATTGATTCTCAAACTTACCTGCGAGTTTATATGGTTCTTTTAATTATTAGGTTCTTGGTCTTTATTAATAATTCGCAAGTGAGTTCAAGCACCAGTTCCTTATAGTATCTGTAGATGTCAGTCACCTCAGCAGCCATATCTTCTCACATGTAAGATTCATCTTTAAAATAATAAAGTAGACGCCTTATGTTTTTTGAATATTTTTTAATCTTTATAACACATTTAAATCAGTTGTATTTATACTGCAAGAGCAGGTAAGTATTGGTTGTGCCACATAGCATACATTTGTAGATGTCAGTCAGCCCAGCAGCTATATCTGCTTACACGTAAGATCGAATCGGTCTGTCCAGAATCGGCGTAGCGGAGTATAATACATTTAAATAGTATAATATTTTAACATTTTAATAATATAGTACATTTAATTCAGTTGTATTTATACTGCAATAGCAGGTAAGTATTGGTTTTTACTTTCTTTTTTTTACAGTATAAGAAAAACTTTTTAAAACTCAATATTAGGTAAGTTTAATTTTAAACTAACGCCATCATTGGTCAAAGGAAGAAACCTTCAAAAATGTCGATGAACCTAAAAGATATTGTTCTCTTATTACAACAAAGTTTTAATCGTCCAGAATACAATCTGAAAACAGTAATTATAGAAGAAGAAAGATTATTTGCTCTTCATTTAGAGAATTTAATCAAAGAATCTGTTGACACCCAAATATTCTTTGAAAGTTTTGATAGCGGAAAAGTCACAGGCAAGAGGACTCACAGCAAAAACCTCCCGAAAAGTAAGAGGCAAGGGAACTCATATAAAAAAACTCCCGATATTGTGAGAGGCAAGGGAACTCACATAAAAAAACTCCCGATATTGTGAGAGGCAAGGGAACTCACAGCAAAAAACTCCCGATATTGTGAGAGGCAAGGGAACTCACAGCAAAAAACTCCCGATATTTTGAGAGGCAAGGGGACTTACAGAAAAAACCTCCCGAAAAGTGAGAGGCAAGGGGACTCACTTTTAATAAAACACCCCAATGGGAACAAAAAGCTACTACGTCCACGTCGTTGTTCCTGGGTAATGCTAAAAAAGTAGTTCAAAAAAGAATTTCTGATTCGTAATCAGCGAGGCCAAAAACCCTTAAATACCATGTTTTATAGAAATCCTTTAAAAAATGAAAATCCGTCCGCCATATTGGATCCGCCATTTTGAATTTTCAAAAACTGACTTCAGATTCGTAATCAGCGAGGCCAAAAAGCCCTAGATACCAAATTTCATACGAATCCTACAAACAGTTTGTAAAGTACCTCTTACCCCTTCCCCCCACCAAAATTTATAGGGGCGATTTCTACCCCAAAATTCGTTTTTGGGGAAAAACAAAAAAATACGTGTTTAATAGTTTTTGAAGAACTACTTGTATATGCAGTTTCAGGAAAATCGGTGAGTATCACTTCCCTAGTGTTACTTGCAAGAATCATTGATAATTACTTATTTTCAGTATTAAAAATACTGGCTAATAAGTAATTATCAATGGTTCTTAGTATGATATTTCTATAAGGGTTTTCTCTGTATATTCGCGCACGTGCAGTTAGATACAAACAACATATGACATACATATGTGTTAACTCTCCCCCACACAACACCAAATGATTACAAAAATGTTGCAAAAATATTACATTGCAAGTTTGCAATATTGCAGCAACGTTGCTGCAACGTTGCAGGATGATTGCAGCAAGGATGTAATATTTCTTCTCGGAGAGATTGCAGTGCATCATTATAGCAATGTTGCAGAACAATTTATTTGCAATAATGCAACATTATTGCATACGGGATAAATATAAACAAATAGGCGGAACTGTTTTACAATGCAAGATTGTTAGCATTGCATTACTGACGGTCTCGGCTCTGTAAGTTAAGATGTACATAAAAGTGTTAAAATTCATACAGCACAGAAGCTTGCAGCAACATTGCTACAATGTGACAAGATTGCATATTGCAGTGCAATATTGCAGAGATATTGCAGTGACTTTAATTTGCAATATTACTTTAGTAATATTATTGCAGCAAAATTTCAAAAATAGTACGAATATAATATAATATTTTTTACTTATTTACTAGTTATTTTTGTTACTTGTATTTAAAATTCAGTAATGTTTCATATCAATAGTGCTTATAAAATAGTACTTAGAATAATACTTGTTAGTGGCAGCCATTAATACTAGAATTTGTCTTATTACATATTTCTTATCCCATACAGCACAGAAGCTTGCAGCAACATTGCTACAACGTTGCAAGATTGTACATTGCAGTGCAATGTTGCAGAGATATTAATTTATAATATTACTTTAGCAATATTGCAGCACTATTTCAAAAATATGACGAATATAATATAATATTTTTTACTTATTTACTAGTTATTTTTGTTACTTGTATTTCAAATTCAGTAATATTTCACATCAATAGTGCTTATAGAATAGTACTCAGAATAGTACTTGTTAGTAGCAGTCATTAATACTAGAATTTGTCTTATTACATATTTCTTAAACTTCTTATACCCGTTTTTTCGGAGAAAATACTTTCTTTAGATTTAATACTCGTACTTGTTTAATTTTGTGGTTTTTTGTTTCATTAAAATATTATATTTTTAAACAAAATATCATTTTTTGAAATGATGAAAATAAAAGTTTTTATTTCGTTCAAGGAAATCATGTCATTTGATAAAACAACATTATTGTTTTAAATAGTATTTTATAAAAATTTCTCTCAAAATTTAGTAATTTGATTTTTCTAATTTGAATTTTCTTGGATTTTTCATTTTTTTGGTTAAAATTAATCATTATAACATTCTGTTAAAAATTTAAAATAATTATCACTGGTTCACTACATTATATCAATATTCATCGCATATCGAATGTTGTTGCATTGTTTCAATATCTATCAGTAAATTATCAAATAAACACCAAGTTAAAGTTATATAACTATTATTTGGTGTTTGCCAAGTATGTTATACTGTGAACACATAAGGATACATTATATAAGCATAAATCGTAAGAATATCGTTGGAGTCATTGGAAATCACCGCGTGCCGCTCGATCGTTAGGTTAAGCAGTACGGAATCAGGACATGGGTGAGATGACTGGTGGTTACCGCTTGGCATCGAAATTATCGAGAAAAGATTCACGAAAGTTTGAAGTGTGTTGTTGACAATCTTCGATACCTAATGGTTTATAAGACATGAAAAATTAGGAATTATAAGAATAATTTTTTAAATATTA